GAAATGTGTATTCCATATCTTTAAAAAAAACAACCCTCAAAGAAGCTCCTACTCTGCATTCACATTTTGTCAGGAGAAATAAACAAGAAAGGTTTATTTTGTTAAACAAATTAGGTTATCAAGCTGTAAGTGCGTGGCTGACATTTTATGAGTGGTGAAAGATAATAAACTCAGTTTCCAGAGGGGTTGCTCTGTTAGCAGATACTGGTAAAAACAAACAGTCTTGTGGCACTTAAAAAAATGGGATGAGCCATTATTGATCAGAGCCTGCTTCTCCATAAAATCAGGGTGCCTTTGGATGTGATCTCTGGTGCAAAGCAAGAAGCAATAATAGGGAAAGAAAATGGGGAAAGCCCAGTGTATATGATGATCTTTGGATGGAAGCTAAGTACTATAGTTGGCCTGCACATCCATGGGGAGTGTTGTGCTTCTGGAAAGTTTACAAATTTCCTCTTTCTCCCATCTCTCCCTCTTTCCCTCTCCTGTTTAAAAAGAAAATTCTTCTCCAGTGTCAGTAATTCTTGCATGCATGTACTCAATGGTGAATCCAAGTTCATTTCAAGAAAGAAGTGTCAGCTCTGCAGTTCTCATTAATCATCCCCATTAATTACCGCCAATAGAAAATCAGCCCTGCTGAAATATTTGTCAGTTAATTATTCAGTTGACCGTACATCATCCATATTTGCTAGGGCAAGTTGACAAGTCATAATTTTAGCAATAACTCCAAATCCACACTGGTCTCTATTGTCCACACAAAGGCAGTGAATCTTTCTGCATGATGACTTGTGAAAGAAAGAAAGAAAGGCACGCCTGAGGCTGAGAAAACACGCAAGCTGTTTGGAAATGAGTTGCGGCAAAGCTGATGTTAGACTTTATTGAGAAGTGGCCTAATATCAGCAGCTGCTGAAATCAACACATTGACTTAATTTTATGTACTTGTGGTAATGTGAAACTTATGTTGATTAGCTAACTGGCAAATGACTCATTGGGGAAAAGACCATGCCGTATTTACCTTCATAATAAAGCAGATAAAATGAGATGAAACAACACAAGAAAGAGTACCATGGTGTGTCTTTCCTTGAATCTTCTCAAATGCAGCTGAAGCAGCTGATCCTACTCCAGTCTTCTTCTGTGGCTCAATCGAACCTGGAATGAAAAATAAGAATAATTAAGAACTAGTGTTGCTTCTGGAATAGTTCAACATGAGATGAAGTTATTGGCTCTTCCAGATTGGTATAAAGAAGGACGAGTTCCTGCACTGCAGCTCCTTAGGTTTTGCCAGTGGTTGTTGCCTATGTGTGCATCCATTTCATTCTTTGTGTGGGTGGGTGGGTGTGGGTGCTGTTTGTAGCAATTTCGGGTCCGCACAAGGTTTGGCAAGATTTATTTAGATGGGCACATGTTTGAAGGGCAATTTTTCTCGTTTCTGAATAAAAAATAAGAATGTTGTAGTGCAAAAGTGCAAAAAAACAACACCATAACACAGAGAGAGGGAGAAGAGAAGGGAGCATATATCTACATACACACAATGTCTTGAGAATTAAAAAGAAACCCACTTGAGGATAGGAATATAATTTTGCAGCTGGTGCTGGGAATTACCAGAAAATAGTCTGGGGCAACAGGAATGTCATTTTGATATTTTTAAAAATCCCAAAAACTATAGCAATGAATACCACATCCTACTGACAGATTTTCTCCATTTGAAGGAGTTCTAAGGGAAAGTATTAACCCTCTCTGTAGAGAAAGTTCACTGTAATGCCAAGTGCATCTACACTACAAAGTTATAAAAATCTGAAAACATTTTACCTGCTATATCTCCTATGAAATACTGGGACATGGAGTTGGTGAGTTGTTTAAGATGCTTTGCTAAAAAGCTCTGTTCCACACCCTTGGTGTACAATTTCCAGAGTATCCTGAGAAAAGTGAGACTTAAATTAAATCAGTTTAATTCTGTACAGTATTAAGACACAGAGTCAGCATAGTAAAGTGGGTTAAATGTTGGACTAAGTAATTTCCCCCCTGTAAACAATAAATATCACTTGCCCAAGGCATATATCCCTTTGTATAAAACAGAATGACTATTTTGCTGAAAACATTTGTAGATTTATGATGAGTTTTCTAAAAAGCTCCAGGAAATGAATAATAATTTTACCTACAGGCAGGTGTTGTGAATTTTCAACTACCTGTTGAGGATGGGAATCTGGGGACTTGTGAGGATGTAATGGTCACAGCAAAAGGGCTTGGAAACCTCATTCAGCTGCACTGTTTCCATCCCTGCTATGGACATTTAAAGTATGCATGTGTACCACAGGCATATTTAGTGGTGACACAGGTGAAAGCCTTCTCAGTGGCTGCCCCCAGGCTGGTATTTAATAAGTATGCAAAGGGATCTTGCAACATTTTTGAGACTAAGGGTCTTGGCAGACGACTAATAAAGTCATCTCCGAGGCAGGGAAGAGGAGGG